TAATTTATTAAATATAATAACAAAATCCCTTTAAATGTATCAGAAACGTATTTCTTACAGAAGTTAATGTAGTGTTTTTATGTTAAAAAACATATTTGTTATATTATTCCAAATAATGCTTTTTTTTCTTTTAGAAATGTTGCTAATTTACAAGTCAAAGCCAACGCATGTAAGCTTGGAACTAGTATGACTATGGCACCATCTGGTGGTAGTATCAAGAAGGCAAGAACGCAACAAAAAGGCTCCTGATTTGCAAAAAAAATGTCAACTGACAAAAATATCAGAATAATGTTAAAAAGATACTCTGATCCCGTAACAGTTCTATATATAGTGTCTTAAATATTTTACAAAACAATACTGACTCTAGCTTATACTGCAGAATTATTTTCGAGCTAGGAATTTAGATTAGCCAGTGGAGTGCTATACTATATATTATCATCCCAGAAATCACTGCAGACAAGCATGTATTGAGATGGGAGATCCTCACATACTTTGCGATGCCAGTGTGTTATAAACTATTGGGACAAATCATCAAGCCTTAAATCACTGTGAGCAGAGGTGAGTGTTGGCATAGCTTAGTTCAGCTGATAAGGCAAATAATGTCACGAGGCAGACATGGACGGCACGTAGTAAAATGGCATCTTTGAAAACAATACCTTTGTTCCAAGGCAAACTAGTAGTACATATTTGCAGTGTGTTGATCATGACAATTACCCCAGATTAAACATGTGACTTTACTGTTAATACACTAAAATACTATCCAACAAATTGAAAGAAAATAAGTTAATAAATAGAATGTAATTAAGAAATTAGTCACATGTTAGTGTGAATTTAATGCAAATTAATGCACGCTAGCTCAAATATAAGTACATGTAGTAGTGACATAAGGTTAGGGATGTCCTCTGAGTGCATATGTATTGCCGGTTCAGTGCCCCACCCTCTCAGGCCACACTAAAAACACAAGTGAGATTACTTCTGGCACAGTTGTTATTAAACCATACTAGCTTTGGTGGAAGACAAGGTGACGATACAATCTGAGATCGGTTTTACTATTGGCTGTGGAAGGCACATGAGGATCAGCTTAATGATGGAGCAAGATGATTAGGAGTGAACACAAATTTCATTGTTATTCTGTGAGTGGACGGTTAATATATACACGAAAAAGTCCACAGAGTAGACATGTAGTTCATCTTGCCAAAAACTTGCAGTGAATTCCCCTAGTGGTCATTTCCCTTTGAACAACAAACATCTCCTGCTACTTCTTGGCATGTGTGCTTACAAGAATGTACATGTGCAAACAGAATGTGTGTGCGAGTTTAAGTGCCTTTAATGTCTTCAGTGAACCCATGTAAAGAAAGCTATCTCGTCCAGGTCCACGGGGTAGTCAGTAAGGTACATGGGGCACTTATCAAAATGTTCTCCCTTGTAGCTTCTCCATCGTCCGGCAGGCAGGTAGATGTCCCTCTCCTGCTTCCCTGGCTCCAGCACCGGAGCCACCATTAGGTCATCCCCGATCAAGAACTGGGAGTCGATCTTGTAGGCGGCCTCGTCGTTGATGGCGATCCACCAGAGGGGCCTTATGATTGGGTCTCCTGTGTCAAGGACCTCGCCTGCCAGCTCGAGGACCCTTGGGGCCACCAGAGTCCTGTGAAGCTCTGTGAACTTCTGTGCTATCTGTACAACCTGCAGGTCAAAACACAGAGATACAGAGTTAGCCTAAATAGAGCTGCATGGTGGCTGGTTTATTAAGACATTTTCTTCTAGATTTCTGATAGCAATACATGTAAGAGACAAGGACGAGGGGCACAATGAAGTCAGAACTTAAAAGCAAGTAATACCTACTATTATTAGATATTTGTACCATTTATCTACATTTATTAATAACCTAGTCAATAATACATTAAATGGTTGTCATGCTTTCCTAGTGTCGAGCTAATTCTGGCTTGAAACGTTGTGCTTTTTATAAATGTAAGAAAATAATTAAAGAGAACAATCTACAGTACATTGTTGAAAGTCTATTATAAGCAGGAATCATCCTTCAGTTGTTTGACTTAACAATCAAAGATGTGGACATGCTTTCTCATTAATGGAAATATATTTACACATACAAATTCTAACTAGAGTGGTTTGAGTTGGGTTACCTCATTGTCATAGGCCCACGGTGGTATAGAGAACTGCATGGCAGGCATGAAAGCAGACAGCTCCAACCATCGGATGTACAGCTCTCTGTCTGGAAGAACATTTTTGCCATCTGAAGTACCTAAAAATACAAAACAGATGTAAGAAAGTACACTAAAACCATGTCAAATATATTTATGTGTCTTACTTCAAGCCAACTCTGGACTCTAAGGCAATGTTGGAGTAGTCTTGTATTGCTTTGTAAGGCTAATAACTCGAGGAAATGACCAGGAAGTATTTTAGTGGCAGCCATGATGGGAGATGTTGGAATTGTCTAATACTAAAGAAAGGTGCTTTAAAGGTCCCATGTCATGCTTTTCTGGTTATTACCCGTCCCCTTATGTGTTAGGTAGCTTTTTATGCATGTAAACGGTCTGCAGAGTCACAAACCCTCAAAGTACACCCTGTAGCGAGTAAAGCTCTAACACAGAAAAGACCTGTCTATACTGCCCCAGAACGCCTCGTTGGAGATTTTCCTTTTCCATTTTTTTCTTCCTGAGTATAGTGACGTAACCATACCCAGGTCCAAATGGACCAATCCGTGGAGCTCCTCACACACACACACACACACTCACTCAGCCTTATCTTTTCTCAGCCCGGACTCCGTGGATCTCCACTCACAGTTCGCCACACATGTGTGTGTGCTCAGGCTGAGTTCCGCGGTGTCTCGCTGTCTCGCAGACCCCACACAGCAACCAGGAAATGACACCAGTAACCCAGCTCACACTGGCCGCTCCTCGAGCCTCAAAGGGCGGAGCAGCGAGCCCCGTAACCTCCCGCCAAGACGGCACCCAGACCCCACGCAGCATTCGTATCTGTTTGTCATTACTGGTGTCATTTTCTGGTTGCTAACAAATGCCATTGTAACACATAAACACACATCAGAGCACAGTGGGCTCATAGGGAGGGGTGGGGGGGGCACGAGCTCCAACAAGGCGTTTGGGACAGAGAGTGAATACCATAGACTGTATATATAAAGGTGAATACACATACTATACAGAGATGCTGTATGACAAACCAATGTGAGTTTGGAAAATTGAACAATGTAAATCTATTCTAGTATACCTCAACAATGGAATTATGATCAGAAGAAATGGCCATGACATGGGACCTTTAATGCTTACTTTCTAATCTCTTTAGCAAAGGCTCCACGAGACCATTGTATATTTAAGGAAAGTAAATAAAGCTATCCCACCATCCTTTTAGTATTAATATTTGAAGTGACGCACATCAATAACATCCACCCATCCTAGCATTAGTGCAGTCCGATTCACTTAAGTTGTCTTTTCCAGGAATGAATTTCTCAAAATCTTTTCTTAACCTCATGACTTAACAAAGTTAAGGTAAAGTGGTTAGGAAAGGGCATAGGACCTAATTTTGTTGGACTATTCGTTCGCAGCCTCTGTAGAAATATTTTATGGAGTACCATACCTGTGGTGCGGTTGGGGTATGCGTTCCCTCCTATCATATCAGGTAAGACAAACTGGTAGCCCAGAATGCTAATCGTTAGTACAGTCGGGATGATGGACTTGAGGCCGAGCTCGTAACCCCACACAGAGTCTCTGTCAATGATCCTGAAGAAGCAGGAGATGTCCTGGCTCTGGTAGCCGACCCTCAGCTCTGCACGCTCACTGAACGGGATGACCATCTCTGTGTAGCGGCGGGTGAAGGTGGAGGGATCCGACAGTGGGATCATGGTGCTAAACTGGCGTGGGAGGTAGCTTGACTCCCCTGCATCAAACTTGAAGGACGTGACGCCATAGCGAGTTTTGATCATATGCAGTTGTGAGGAATACCACTCTCTTGCTTCTGGGTTTGTAAAGTCCAAGATTCCTCCGATGCCGTTCCACCAGCGAACCAGAGCAGGCAGCTCCCCGCTCGGCTCCCGCACAAACAGTCCTTTCTCCACAGCAACACCAAAGTTGATGGAGTCATAGTTGATAAAAGGATGAGTCCAGAGCGACACTTGAAACCCGTCCTCTCTGAGTTTGTCAAACATACCGCTAGCGTTGGGGAACTTCTGCGGGTCAAAGTCAAACTCTCCATAATCTGAAGTGTAGCGGTCGTCCAGCTCCAGGTGGGAGCACGTGAAGCCATGCTCGGTGATGTCAGAGGCGTACTGCAGCAGTTTGTCCTGAGTCACAGATGTCTTATGGAGAGCCCATGTGGACCACAATGGCTGTTTGAACACTTCAGGGGATGGCACCTTGCTGGGCTTTGGGAAATATCGACGCACCTGAGCACAACAAATGCAGACACTTACTGCAGAAATATTCACAGCAACAATTTACAGTGAAAATGTTTGCTCCACTGCTGTATTTGGTGATAATAATGTTCTCATCTTAGTATATTTCCCCCAAAATGTCAGAATTTGACTTCAAATACTACGTGGCAAAGATGTCTGCAGCGGTGTCAAATCCAAACTAATCTCAATTCAAGTCCTCGTATCTTTAGCAACTAGCCATTTTTATCTATAAATGAATACATGTTTTGCAAGTATAGATCACAGTTATCAGAGTCCTACGTTACACCTTAAAGCATCTTGTTTTCGTACTATCATCAATTCAAAACCCAAAGATATTCAATTTATTGTCATGTAAAAAAGAGAGAAGCAAAAACAAACAATGTAGAAACTAGAAACTAGATTTTGGTAGATACATGAATTTGTCAACAACTGTCAGAGTTGTTCATAATTAATATGTCTGTAATATATCAGTTAAGAATACATTATGCTTTTATATTTCCTGTCATCTTCACTCCAATTTAGCTCTTTTAAATGTGTTTAAACTTTCTTTACTTTTTACTTTAAGTGCCTAAGTGTAAACAATTCCCCTTTGCCCCAAACATTCTCAAAAGCAAACACTTCAGACTTAACTATAGTGCTCTTATATCAATAATAAGTTATTGTTACAAGTGCACTCCTACAATTCCACAGTATGTCATTACTTACCATGTATTTGTGAATAGAGGTGACATCCAAACCCACACACACTCTGTAGCTGAGTTCGGGTAAGGCCTGCTGTCCCTCTGCTGGTTTGAAGGGAGAGTCCTGGTACCGGGCCTGGAACCTGAGGGTCCTGTCTTTCTCTGACCAGCCCAAATGGAAAGGCACCGAGTCATTAATCTTGATGGCAGTCGCATTCGAAGACAGCCAATAGCGTTCCAAGATACCCCCGAAAGCATCTCGATTGGAGTAGACATCGCTGGTGATGAAAGGCTCAGGTTCCTTTTCTCCCTGTATTCTGATAGGCCAGTACTGTGTTGCTGTCTCCGCCCCTCCATACCAATGAGAGTCATTATAGGCCATGGCGTGCTCCACTGAGCGCTTACTTTGCAGCTCCTCCCAGCGAACACGGTAACATATCACAGTGTCCTTTGGTCTAACAGTCTGGATAAAGAAGTTGAGCTTGCCAGAATCTGACTGAGTGCAGCTCAGGATATTTCCCTCTTTGGAGCAGGAGTCCAGATCCAGAGTGCCAGACCTGGAAGGCAGCAACAACACAGTTATAAAATATAAATGAACTTGTGAAGCACAGCACCTATTGTAACTTCCAAATAATTGTGAGACTATAAGAATACTTTGCAATTGAAAGATATTGTTTGCTACATTTCATTGCTGTATTTCACTGAGAGTGCACGGATTGTACCATGGCTATTTCTGGGAATGTGAGCTTTGCTGATAAAGGAACTGACCAAATCACTTTCCCCTAAGGATGTAATCATGTGTCTGCCTCCTGTGGATTTCCATTCACCATCCACACATTGCAGACAGGCAGCTTTTTAGTACAAATCAGCACAGAAAGAGAAACAACTGTGCCAAGGCAAAAAAAAAAGATATATGGTACAAGAATACTCTGAACTAAGATGTACTGGCTGATTCACCAGAAAACAGTTCATTAATGTTCCTCTTTTGATTGTATTGTGATTGCTCTGAAATGGCCATGGCAGCAGCAGGATAGATGTTATCATGTGCATATTCCATCTCGAAGAAATGTAATCTGCAACTATAACATAGTAAGTGTAAAGAATTATAATAACAGTATCGTCCTGGGATATTATGTACTGTGATACTTATTGATTGTCAAAGACAGTATATGTTTTGATGAATAGTGTATTTAACATGAAAAGACTATTAATATTTTATATATTATTTTAAATAGATATGCGCCATCTTAAAGAAGTGATATTGACTTTTTTTGTGTTACAAGGATTGTAATAAATGCAAATAAAGATCCCATTTCACTGATTGCATAAAAATTAATCTCTTTTTAATTAGATTGTCACTTTCTAGTCACTTTCCAAACAGAAAATGACAAAGAATCTCTGGTGCCAGTTTCAATGTTATGTTGGAGCATGTTCTCCATTGATTTGTTTTATTTTATTCTGAATTGAATGTGTTTGGGGTTTTGAGCGTTGGTAAGACAAACTGAGAAATGTATAATAAATAATAAAAATATATATAAAGAATGAAAATAGTCCCCACAGTAAACGTACCTGAAGGTCATACTGAAGACCACAGCCCCCGTCATGTTATGAATAATAAAACCGTCCTTGTTGAGTTCCAGCAGCTCGGCCTTCAGCAGCTGGGCTTTACGGAGGGACGCTGAGTAGTAGCACCAGGACACCACAGCAGCCAGCACCAACACACAGCCCAACAGGCCTGCTAACACCATGGGCCGGCCCTCATGAGACAGTTTCTTCTTCATGGGAGAACCACCTGCTGTCTGCTGCTCCCCAGGAGCCACCGGCACAATCTGGTACATACTGAATATTTACAGCAGTGAGGTGTGCAGGAGAGCAGCTTTGGAGGAAGAGTGGCTGGAGTGGACAGCTGTAGTGAACTCGCTGTCAGTGTCACTGAAAATTGAATATCTGTCACACTGACAGAAGTAGAAATAAAGGAAAGCCTGGTGTCTATTTGTCGATCTTGAGCAAAGCCTCCATTTCTGAATGATTTGTCCAAACCTGCAAGATGAATAAAGAGAGAAAGGGATCTACATTTAGTTGATTTTTTGCTCAATTAATATCAAGTCAATACAAAGAAAGTCATACATCATTGTCGTGTCAAATTATCATATAGTCATTAAAAACATGTGTTTAACAGAGGATAAGGATAAGTTAAGGATTTACATTTCAGGAGGGCAAAAGGAAGTGTAAAAGGGGGATATGCAAATGCTTAGGACGAGGGCGTTTTATGGTTTAATGGTGGGGATGTTTAGATGGTGCCTAATGGAATTTAAGGATGGGACCAGTTGACTATTCTCTCTACTATATAGTGAGACTGTAAGCTGTGTTCTGGGTGCAGATCCTCTGAGGAGGAAGTAGCTCTGTTCCTACATTTGGGATTGATTTCACTTCTATATTGACTTTCTTTATTACTTTATTAAATATAACAAAAGACAAACTTTGTCCATGAATCATTTATCAGTTTCTCTTAAGAAAGTCCTCCACAATCATAAAGTAAATCAACAGAAAAATAATTACCAACTATTCAATATAAATACGGTAATCAATACATTTTCATGCAGAAATGTCGGGAAATGCTGTTTTTAGGCTCTCAAATATGACAGGTGTTTTGCCCTGTTTCTGTTTAATAGCATGTTAAACTGATTATCTTGGACTGACAAAACAAGACATTCAAAGTGATTAGCTTGGAACTGTTTGGGCATCTTTCACTTTTTTTATGGAACGTATAGGCCAAAACTTTAATATATTCATTTAGAGAATAATGGGCAAATGAATTGATAATGAAAGGAATTGTAGTTGAAGCCCTAATAATAATTACATAATAATGTTATGTAGTACATACAAATCCACTGTTGGTCCCTTGCCACCCACATCACAGAGGCTGTTTGACAATCCAGTTCTAATATTACCACTGAGTCTCCATACATTAAGTTATAAATAGCTTTGGAGCTCTCCACACGGCATGCTCTCTAATACACCCGAAAACAATAAAGTGTACAATAGTTCTGCATGAGACAGTTACTCATAAGCAATCTAACTACCCTTCAGTGATGCTACAGTATATTTACCACCACCACGTTGGTATATTGTTTACAAGTTAAATAGATATATGTTACTGTACTGTGTTATGTTGCTGTCAGGTATCTACTGCAGTGGTTCAGCAGCAGCAGTGTCCCCAGCAGAGAGAGACAGAGAGAGCAAGCTTTAATCTGGTAAATGGTAGGTAGAGGTGCTGTGAAGCCACATTGGCACTGATAGAAACAGAAACAGTGACACCATAAAAACAGGCTTTAATCAGAAACACAATGTCAGCATAGTTAAATGACATTTATCTCTCAAGTAAAAGCACCTTGGGATTGAGTAAATAATATTTAAAAAGTAGCAAACCTCCAATAAGGGCACTGCAGCAGGCCTATAGTTTTCAGATATAGCAAAGGGCAATCATCTACAACAGAACCATATTTAATGTTGCAACAGGTATCATTATGCCTCAGTGTTGCAGTGCAGGGAGAAAAGGAAATGGTTTAAGAGCATACCAAGCAAGAACCTCTGTTGCGTGACCTGTGTTCCTCTTTGAGAAAGTTTACACAACCCCCTGTTCGAATTACATCCTTTACCTTCTCTGTTTTTACAATTACAGAAAAAACTGCACTGCCTCTTTCAAACATCATTTGTAACTTGGTTAATTGAGTTTTTAAATAGATTGCCTTGATGTTCAAAGCAATTATATGATACATTGTGTTGGGAAAGTGTTTAATTTTCAAGTCCCAAATATTATAGCTAACTGCTTTATCAGGAAACAGGCATAAAACAATGTTTTTTGTACAATTATCACTGCAAACACAATGTTTTATGAAGCAATAACTATTATGTTATGGATACGTCTAGTTAACGATAATGGCCTGCTCACTGTGACCAGAAATTCGTTTTTTTTGCTTATGGGGACCAAATGGATGCAATGCAGTGTTTTGATATACAGTAGAAAGTATCGATTCTGATCAGTGCTGTACTATTGTCTGGTCTCTGTGGGTTATCCATTTTTCTTACCGAACAGCGAGCTCACAAACGCAGGAACAGATTTCTCCATAGTGACTGCTAATTGTTGTTTGTTCACTTTAGTTGAAGCTATCAAACTATTACACTGCATGCAATTCATCTGACTTTGCTGAAATGATGGTCACATACAGCGCCTCCAGATGCTATGTATTTGTTTATATAACGTTCTAGAATAGTGTCGATGTGACTCGGTATAACTAAAGTATCAAGCGTTATTAATGTGCCAGTGTCGGATCGATAACCCACAAGCACTCTCCGACACGATTATCGCTGTTGTCGCTGCATACAGTGACACTGTAACCGGTCGTACCAGTTGTCAGAAATGTGGTTGGAGACGGACATGTTCACCGCTAAAAGCTTAGTTAGCCATGTCAATACGACACAAAACAGTTAGATAACACATTTAAAACTGTGGTTTCTAGCGTCGTGGTGATAAAAACAGAGTTATCTTACCTCTGCATCTGACTCTCTGGGGTCAATGTGTACACAGCTGTGAGCGCAGTACCACACTGCGCAGCTGCAGAGCGGTTTGAAGTTTCACGGTCCCGCCCCAGCACAAAGATTCGTTAATTAATCTGTCACTCATCCAATGGGCTTCTGGGAAACGTAGTGTGAGAACATGGTAAAAGAGACGAATCTACTAACTTTCAAATTGGTTCAGAAACTGAAATTGTCAAACTCTCAGCTGGGCAGGGATAAAGTAGGTAACTAATGATTACTAGTAGGCTATGGGCATAATTTTAAAATGATTGTTCGTGTGCATTTTTAATCAAATGTGCTAGCGTTGCCCATGGGAACATTTAAAATAGGCCAATGAAAGACACAATTGTATCCGTTTTTATTAACCTACAGAATATTGTGTGTGAAATGGTTTAACCTAGCTGAATTTTTCATTGTTAACTATTTGTCTTGAAAGGTGAAAAGACGGTTTGAGTGTACTCTCACCAAGTGTGTTGATAATCTGGCACACTGGAGCAGGGTTGCACCACAGGTGGTCCTGAACAAACTACAGAGGTGAGATCATCTGGAGTAAAAATAATGTTGTTGTGACTGAGACATGCCTTCTGCCACTGGGTGACAGCAAAACACTATGAACAGGGGAGCTCAAAGACGGAACAAGTAGGCCTACCCTAGAAACCTTGTTTATTTTCTGAGGCAATGCACATAGCCTATTCCTGTTACTCCATTTACTGTAATATCAGTTTGTTAGAAGTTTAAACAGTCCTAGCTAAAGTATACAATTATTTTGCTAGTAGTTAACGTTATAACTTTTTTTTATATGTGCAACGTTGGTGGCAGAATTAAGCTAACCTAGCTTAATATAGCAATAGTAGCAGCAACATTAGCTTTGACAAGTAGCATACTAGAAGCTCTTGTATAAAGAAGTTAACCTTAGTACTTTTAACAAAAGCAGTAAACTAGTAGCAGAACCAAAATATACAAATGTGTGTTAAACATTTCGACAACCAAATTGACAAACAATACTGTATTACTGTATTATTATTTTGTAAAATAACTTTTGAGTAAGTGCATTTTCTCAAGTATTATACTTAAAGGTGGGGTAGGTAATTCACTTCAGAAACACTTTTTGTTATATTCCATGGAATGCTCTTAATATCCCGATAGCAATGAATACATTAAATGCTTTGACAATAAATACATTAAAAAAATTCATCTGTGGAAGTCGTGGTGCTGTGCCATAGTGCTGTGCACAAATGTATCTCGTGCCCTCATTGGTCATGTGCGCGTTGTGTGTTTAAGGAGGGGGGGCTCTGTAAGGAAATCTGAAGGAAGGGGCAGATTTTTTCCGGTAATGTACTTTCAAATTCTAGCGCATTCGAGCTGGTTTCTCCATTCTTACCTACCCTACCTTTTAAGTATACTGTTTTGAGGTATTTTTACTTGAGTATTTCCATTTATCGCTACTTTACACTTCTACTCAACTACATTTCAGATCCAGATATCATACTTTTTACTCCACTACATTAATTTAACATTAACAGTTACTCTGTACACATATACAAATATTATATGGTATAATGCAGTACTTTAATACTAAACTACACATTGTTTCAAATAACTACATTTGGTCCAAATTGACCAAGAACAATTATTATTATTATTATTATTATTTTTGAAATGGGACATTTTGCAGAATGAGTACTTTTACTTTTAGTACTTTAAGTACATTTTAATGCTAACCATTTTGTACTTTTTTTTAATAGTGAATTGGGACTTTTACTTGTTAAAGAGTAATTTATGAAAATGATGATTTTTCTTTTAATTAAGTAAAGGATCTAAGTACTTCTTCCAACACCTTGTTTACTTCAGTATTTTGTAAACTTACCCCAGAAAACATGATGGTAGCATTAACCCATCATATTTGTGATAGGCTTTAAGGCAAGGAAGAACATGGGCTCATGGTAAAAGTAAAAAAAAGACATGATGGGAATATCACTAGAACTTGTGATACTGTTTCAGTTGAAAAACGACTGTTTGTGGTAAGAGTGCAAACGTATTAGTGATATTTATAGAAGCACTAATAGTATTTGGCAACTCTGTTTCAGAAGCTGCCCTGGTGGAAATATCTCAGGAGCCAGACTGACTGTCAGGGTGCAGAGGGCAGATGCTGCTGGTGCTGCTGATGTCCCTGCTCTGCTGTGTCCCTGCAGCAAAGGCCTGTCTGCAGTGCGACCGAAGCATCAGGCTCCTACATGAGGACTTTGTCCTGTCTGCTCCTTCTGTGAACGACCAGATTGAAATACAAAAGATTTGTGACTATGCATATGTGACCTACAGAGAAACCAGCCAGGGTCGAAAGGGAGTTATTGGTGAGATAAATATTTGGTTCAGCACAAAAACAATATGGCATGTGTGTGAAGTATACTGATTATTTTATTAAGCCAATTTATGTCCCATATGTTCTTTCTATCTTTCCCTTATAGTTTTTTATAATTTAACTGTGACATATTAAAAAAGATCAGTAACATATTATTGTCTGTTGCCCATTGCTCAGATCCCACCACTCTGTACAGAGTCAGAACTGAATACCAGAGTGAATTTCACCGCTTCTTGAAAACCCAGCACACTGGTGAGAAACAAAATAGGTTTTTATTTGTCATCACTGACTATCTTTAGACAAGCAGTCGGAACAAACTCAATGTGGACAAGATTTCTAAGACAGTCTGCTCTTTTTTTAAAGGATCTGTAAAATTTGAAGCCATTCAGATAATGGAGAAGGGCAGAAAGATCTTAGAAAAACACTTGGACATATTCATCCAGGATGGTAATTGGCATGAATATTAGTATGTGTTTTGCACAGTGTGAGTCAGGGCACATGTGTAAGGCATTGTCATGTACAGGATGCATTAGTTACAGAGCATTCGTTTGTCTTCCTTTAGGACTGTGCCCCAACAAGTGTGGTAAGTTTTGTTTTAATGGTCCTTCCCCTCTGTATCTGCTGTATTAATCCCTTGTTGAAGAACAGTGTGTGTGTACTATATTCAGTGCATGTTCACAAGACATGAGTGTGTGGTATGGTTTTTCAGGGCTTTTGAAACGAAGAGTAATGGATTGCTTCTCTTGCCGCTACCAGATATACGTCTGTCCCTCTCCCTCAGGCCAGCAGAACTGTGGCGGTATATCTTTATTTGTTTCTGTGTATATTTGTGCATGATGATGTTGGTGAGTGGGTGTGGGATGAACGTACTTCTGTAATCGGTTCCTAAGCGAGGCACTGGTGCTGCTGTCCATGTGTGGGCTAATACAAAATATTATTCAAATTATCCTGACGCAAATAAGTCTAGCTTCTCTCTTTGTTCTCCTCTCACTCACTGTAGAATACCCAGTGCAGGCTGAGGAGGGGGGGCAGGCAGTGTTGAACTGTTTCCTTCCATGGCATCGCATTCTGTTGGAAAAAACCGAGTATCACTACTCCTGGGCCCCCGGTGTGCCAGGAACTAAAAAAGTATGTTTGCAATCACTATCTCTTCCTGAAAGGACAAACAGCATGGGTTTAGCACTTTCAGCCACTTTGCACACTTCCTTATTCCAGTGTATTACAATATGTTCCTTTTTTAGATGAACACAATCATCATGTACATGCACATTTACTCCAAGCCACTAACTCACAACAATCACTTCCTAATGTGTGTGCAGCTGAACGAGAGTGACTTCAAAGCATTGG